CTCCAAGAGGCAGCGGCGCAGTCGCGTCGCACAATAGGTATGCGCGGTCAGGACGCAAGGGCCTCGGAGGGGCACGTCCAAAGGAGCCCAGGGGCACACAAACAAGGCGCAAGTCCCAGGATTCCCCTATACTTTTCAAGCTCTCCTGTGGGTTTTTGTCTTCCCCCCCCACTTCCTACATTTTCCCATCTGAGCCTGGGAGTCGCCGATTCATTGCGTCTGTGTGTTTTTTCCCCCTCCCGAATGTCAATGTTCTGCGAGCGAGGTTGGCCAGCGAAGGTCGCTGAGGATGAGCCCAAGGGGCAAGGATGCAAGGGCAGCCTTGGGAAGTTGCTCCTCCTTACGATGCGGGTTGATGGTAGGGGGGGAACTGGCATAGCGGGGATGCGTCGACCTGGAATCGACGATAGATCGTCGACCTGGAATCGACGATAGATCGTCGATAGATCGTCGACCTGGAATCGACGATAGATCGTCGATAGATCGGCGATGGGCTCCCGACAAGAAAACTCGCACCTTCCCGGACGGGTCGGGCTGTGGAGCCCCTGGCGGCGATCCGTGGGCGATTGGGGCGTCGGTGCGTCCCCCGGGGGGCCGGCGCGTACCCCCCGTGCCTATCGCCCCCTGTCGTTGCCCCCGAGCCGCGACCCCCCCTCGAGGTCCGGCGCTGCGAGCACACGTGCAGCATCGCAGGAACCGCAGCCCTGACCGGAATCCTCGACCCAAAAGCTCTCTGCAGCGTGTCCGTCGACCTCCACCTTCCGCGCCCTCTGGGCGGGCAGGTGCCGCGCCCGCGGCACCTGCTGCGCGATCGCTCGGAAGGTGGAGGTCGAGCAAAGAGCCGAACTCTATACACCGACGATCCTGGTGCACACGGGATCCTGGTGTATACATGTTTCGCTCTTTCCCGTGGAAGCAGGGGAAGAAACATACACTACATTACCCCGACGTCCCCCCCCCGTCCCTCGAAGCGTCGTGGGAGTGAAAAACAGCCCACCACTGGTAATGTACAGTAGGGGCCCGACCACAAGAAACCTTCCACAAGAAACCCAATCCTGAGACCCCAGCACGTCCATTGATTTTTGGTGTGGGAACGCCACGGTGGCCATCGCACAACCATCAAAACCCAATAAGCCCAGGGCACCCTGGCGGCAAGCAGGGTGTTTCTTGGCATGGGTCGCCACTGTGTATGCTCTAGTTTCCGATCGCGGGTTTCTCGAGCCGAATCCATCAGCGCGAGCCCCAGTCGGGCGTTGGCAGAACTGGGTATAATTGGACCTGGTTTCGTGATCTGTACGGGGGGGCGCCCCGCCGCCCCGTTCCACTGACCGGAACTGCCGCCTCCCGAAACAAGACACCAGCTACGGCAGACCTGGCTTGGGGATTCTGGCCAAGTGAAGGGCTCCAGGGCCCTTCCTACTGAGCGGGCCCCCTTACCCGGGGTCCTGGCTATACCCGGCCCAGGGACTCTCCAAAGCTGCCAGGTCGCCTGGCGGATCGCCACGGGCCGGCGCCTCGCTCTCTCCCTGGCGCTCTCGCGCACGTTCTTTCCCGAGTGCTCTGCCGCAGGGCGCGCTCGGACGCGGCGGCCCTTGATCGCTCAGAGGTCGGGGCAGCCAGGAGGACGGGGAGGAGGGGAGGAGGAGGAGGAGGGGAGAGGAGGAGGAGGAGGAGAGGAGGAGGGAGGATGAGGAGGAGGAGGAGGAGGAGGAGGAGGAGGAAGCAGGAGGAGGAGGAGGAGGAGAGAGGGAGGGAGGGGGGAGGGAGGAGGAGGGGGCAGGCAGCGTGCGGCACCCCACTCGACCGCGCCGCCGGCGCCAGCCTGGGCCGGCCGCCGGGGAACGGCTTCCTGGCACGCGCCCTCGCGCTAGCACGCCACGGTCGGCCAAGGGCGCCCGTCGCGCGCGCGCACGGGCCGCGCATCGCGCACCGTGGCGCGCGCGGGCCGCGGCCGGCCGCCGCCCGCGCGCGGCGGGCCGCGGCCGGCGACGCGCCGCGCACGCTTCCTGCGCGCGGCGGCCCGCGGCGGCCGGCCGGGGGCGACCCTCTCAGAGCCGAGCGGCGAAACGGGGGAGGAGGGGGGTGCACGAGAGGATCCCAAGCGGCGGTGGGCCGGGGCCGCGCGGCGAGGTCAAGCTGGTTGCGGGCGCGCGCGTCGCTCGCGCTTGCGCTCACGCTCTCGCTCGCGCCCGCTCTCGCGCGGGGGGGCGGCGAGCGCGGGCGGCGGGTGGCGGCGGGGAGCGAACGAGCGGGTGGCGATCCGCCCCCTCTCGGAAGTCGAGCCCCCTGCGAGGCCTCGGAGCGGGGTAATTGCCCCGCCGGGCGCCGTGCGGCCCGCGGCCAAGTGCGGGGAGGAATGGCAGTTGGAACGATGGGAGGGAAGAGGCGGAAGAGGTTAGGAGGATCTGCAAACATCGTGTTATCATAAAGATCACACCAGATGCTGCCACAATCTTCGATTCTGCTTCCAAGAATGTCATTGTTTTCGCTTGGTTGAGGCCATCTTGCCGGGGGGGTCCCGCCCATCAGGAAGAGGGGGTGGAGGCGATGGAGGGCATCGAGACTATAGGATGGCCCTTCCACGCAGCATAAGAGGGCCTATCAGAGCGCCAGGTGCAGACTCCCGCGAGCGACTCAAGCATGCCGCCATCTCCTCGCGAGTGGGGGGCTGAAATTAATATGCTGGCAGATCGTGCAGGTTGGCATCTAAACAATTGCCGATTCCTTCTTCTGGCGTTCCTGATTTCGGGGAGGATAGGCTGCCAGCGCGCCTGCAGCACCTCGACCATCGGGCCAGAGCTGCGAATTACCTGGTGCAGATGTCTAGACTGGACAGCACGAAATCCTCGCAGCATGAGTCTCCGCTGGAGTGGCTGCCAGAGGAGGGCACGTGTGAGGGAAAACGTCTGCGCCTTCCCCCAACTCTGGATCTCGTGGGGAGTAGCTGGGGCCCGACTGGCAGCGCGCGCTTGAATCCCACCAGCCCTTTGGGCGTGAGTGGTTTAGAGAGCCCGCTCTGTTCTCAACCCCCCTTCTTCCCCTTCGGGGAGGGGTTTACCCCTCCCCCTCCCCCCTCCCCCTGGGCCTGGAGAGGGCGCCCCGCGGGTCGTTGGAGGGGTCTTTTTCGACTCCTGGGAGGGCTAAAAAACGACACCCCTCACGAGGATTCTGGCCCCGACGGGGGGAGGCAGAAAAGTGCTCCCCTCTTCTTTGAAGCCAAAACCGTTGATTTTACTACGGTTTTGGCCCCATTTTGGCCTTCTGAGGGGGCAGCGCTAATTAAAGCTCCCCTCTTCTTTCAAGCCAAAATCATTGATTTTACCAAGGTTTTGGCCCCATTTTGGCCTTCTGAAGGGGGCAGTGCTAATTAAAGCTCCCCTCTTCTTTGATCGATTTCCTCCAAGATGGCCCCAAGAAGCGTCCAGGAGGCAACAAGAGGCCCCAAGATGGCCCCAAGAGGCCCCCAGGAGGCCCCCAAGGGGATCCCAAACGGGCCACAGAGGCCCCCCCGAGGCACCCAAGACGCCGAAAAGCCCATCAGGACGACCCTCTACTCGCCTGGGCGTCGTTTCTGGACGGGCAGGAGGAGGGGCCCGAACGACTCACACCAGGACGAGGGGCCCGAACAACTCACACCACGAGAAGCCCGAACGACTCACACCAGGACGAAGAGCCCGAACGACTCACACCACGAAGAGCCCGAACGACTCACACCAGGAAGAAGGGCCCGAACGACTCACACCAGGACGAGAAGCCCGAACGACTCAAACCACGAGGAGCGCTTTCTCTCCCTCCTCCTCCGCCTCGTCCTTCTCCCGCTCCCACCATAAGGAGGATGTACAAGGAGGCGGGACGAAGGAGGAACAGGGGAGATATGCGGGGGCAGGCGGAAACACGCCTGCAAAACACGATTGTCGGCATGCTTCGCTAGAGTTGCTGTTTTGAGATGGGCTGGTGGGGATACGCGAAGCGTGAAGAATTTGTTCGTGCCTAGCCGCATCCTGGAAGATAACTTCATTGCGGGAATCTCCCCGTTCTGAAGAAGGACATGTTGAACATGTGCTTCTATATACGGAAGCCTGTTGCATTTTCAAGCAACCTTTAACTCCTGTCGCCAAGTGGCTCGGGCCATCGACCTACAAGTTAAACGCTTCGATGCGCAAGTCCCCGGGATCGCTATATACCCCGGGTGTTTAGACATGAAAGGAAGGATCTTCCGTTGCCGTGGCGGCGCGCTTCCTCGGGGCTTCAATGTTGAGGCGATGATCGCGTGATCGCTCAATTCCCAGTTAACTAAATCGGGTGTCTCCTGCTGACTGTCGAGCGTCGTTTCAGTCTCGAGGAAGACGTGGGGGGAGAGGGAGGCGAACGCCCGATGGAGAGACGAGAGGGGGGCGGAGGCTCGAGGGCAGTGGGCGGGGAGATCGGCGGCCATCTCCGTCGTCTATCCAGCAAAGAGGCCTCGCCAAGAAGCCTCGTGGTTGGCGCGCTGGCAACTCACTCGCGGCGCGGGAAAGAGGGGCGAGTCGCTCGGCGAGTCGGAGACGTTGAAGTCGCCAATGGCCACCGCCAGCCTCTGCATCTCCGCCTCGCGGGCCCACTTGGCGTTGTCCCGCCGCTGGCCTGTGATGGCGGCGCGGGCTGTGTCGGGCAGGTCGTAGCTGTGGATGTTGGCGATGTGGATCTCGCGGGCGCTCTGCGGTTGCGGATGTGAAGGGCGTGTGCGCGGCCTTCTGCCAGGACGTTTTGTTCGGAAGATCGGAGGGGATTCCGTATCCCTGCCAGCAAGAGCCTGCTCGGAGTGCCATGGCGACAAAATCGCAGCCCCGCCAGAATGCCAGGACGCGCGCCCGTGGTTGAGAAGACCCCGTGCATGCCCGTGTGCTGGCGCACTTCGGTGACCCGAGACTCGTGTGCGCCGTGGACCTCTCGCAGGCAGATCACAACTCGTTTCTTGATGTAGGTTGCCACTCTGGATGGCTTCCGTCTGCGCTTACCTC